CATCTTCCGTCTACGATTCCAAAAAGACCGTTTTTTGTCCTTAATATTAGATATTTCAAAAATACAATCTTCAAATAGGGTTCTGGCTACTTTCTATTTATACTATATTTAACATAATAATTTTATTTGACACAGTTTTTTAAATAAAAATTCATAATGACAAACACTTCGTCATATAAGCTTGGATGCTCAAAATATATAAAGGTGAAGGGAAAAGTGACTAGCACTACTATAATATTTCAACATCAACTATTCTCGCCTTCATAAAAACAACATTCATGGCTTAGCTTGATTTGCATTGAAGAAATCTATTTTTAAAAGTGCGCTTGGAAAGTTGAACATTTTTGTGAGTAGTCTATTGAGGTGCATTTTTCAAACAAATGAGAAAACTACTATCAACATAATCATATTTTGCCAACAAATTTCGTTTCAGGTAACCCAAACAGTATTGGTGAATGTGTAATGATGATGATTGGTGAACTTGCTAATGGAAAATGGGTTAGTGCAGATTGCAGATACATGCGAGTTGCTTTCGTTTGTCAAGTTGCAAGAAAAAGTAATTTTTTGTAGAATATAATTTTAACAAATTGACAATGAAAAGGATAATTTATAGAACTTTGCGGTGATTATCGCGAATACGCTAAAGGTGGTAAATGCTACAAGAGAATTTATCAACGTTTAACCTTCGATGAAGCAGAACACTACTGCCAACAAGAATGTGGCCACCTTGCTTCCATTCATAACGCTGAGGTAAAGCTCAAGAAGATTTTCTGAAATTTTTTCCTCTTCTCAACTGCAGCAGCAATTTTAGGAGAACGAGATATTTCATGAAATGTTCGATTATAAGGGAGACTACGGTAGACTTGGCCTAAAGCAATCAGACGACAATTTTTCATGGACGGACAATACGACTTTCGACTACAACAATTTTGGTACGTTCCTTACCAACTGCCATAGAAGACTGATTACGTTATTAAAGGGGTTTAATAATGAAAGATTTTTTTTGAAAAAGTTTAAGAAAGAAGAGATGAGAATACGAGTCAAAAAGACAGAAGATGAAAGAATATGAGCCAACTTTAAATAAAGTGCAAACAAAAACCAAGGCTTGCCAAATTACAACATAATTATCTAAAATGATTCTTATTTACTATATTATCGGGTGATAAGAAGTGAATTTGATTTGTAAATTATAATGATCTTGAAAGTTTAAGAGGAAATGTCGTCTTTAAAAGAAAAAGTAGATTAATTTGATGGAAGACAAAATCATATAAGTAAGGAATTTATAGTTAAAATAGCGAAAAAATAGAATGAGACGACTTATGGATCATCTACAATATCGGCCTAAAAATTCCATTATAACGCTAAGGTAACACTTAGTAGTAGGGACTGACAT